CGGGTTGGGCCGCGCTAGGGCCTGCGCCGCCGCCACCGGCCCGCGCTGCTCCTAGAGAAACGGGCCTTAAATACACACTTGCGTGCACGCGGGTAACGGAACGGGCGTGTGCACGTTTGTCGATACGTGTAGATGCGCCGTGGCGTTGTGCTGAGCTGCCGCGTTCCCCGCGCGCGGGGTAACAACAATGGCAATGGAGCGGCAGTTGGACTTGCTCTCCTAACGTTGGGGAAGGCGCAGGACAAAGCCGGGCYGCGGAAGGAGGCGGCCCGCGGGGTTCATCCTGCCCGGGACGGGACCGGACGGGACGGGAGGGGACGGGGGCCGGTCCTGGTGCGCTCGGCGCTTGCCCTTGTCCAAGGCAGGCGCTTCCCGAGGCGCTGCCCTTTGCATCCTTTTCCTTAAGGAGCTCTGCTCTCCCTGCTAAGGGTGGAGGCCGTTTCTTAGGAAAATGGAGTAACTTRTCTTGCAACTTTTTGTTTCCTCCTGCTTTTAATACGAATGCGCGCTGCACAGCAGGTTTAGGGGTGCGAAGACCATCTTCCCGTGCAATTTTTTTTTCTTTCTCTTTTTGCCCTGGAATTAAACTAGGTCGGTGATCAACGTTCCTAAGACGGTGGCTGCTGCTTTCTCTCACCAGGTTGCAGCTGTAGAGGATAAGCCGCCCGGGAGATTTTTGCCTTCGCGATGGCTCAGTTTGGAGGACAGAAGAACCCGCCGTGGGCTACTCAGTTCACAGCCACGGCCGTGTCTCAGCCAGGTCAGTCCATGTGGAATCCGGCGCGGGAACCCTGACATCTAGCGTGGTTGTAGTGSAGAGCGGCTGCTTGCTGCCCGCCTCCTTGATAAGGTCTCTGATATCCAGACGAGCTGCATGCTTCTGAGGGGGTTAAGGTATCAGAGATCACTAACTGGCATTAGCTGCATGTGTTTTCTTGTGAGGGGGAATGAGTACAAAGCTTGTCCTTGACTCTCTAGAGCAGTAAAATTAAGTTACTCATATCCAAAATTCTGTAAATCAAATGATCTTTTCTCAGATCACTTCAGTGTGGATTAAATAACAATAGCACTAATAGGCCATCACAGATTCTTATGTGGTGCCTCTTCTATCATTCCCAGGCCAGCTCACATCGAAGTTTACARCTCCCATGCTTTCATTAATATTTTGGGCATATCTCAGTGGAGATTTACTCGTAGCCCTGGAGATTTCCCTCGTAGCCGTGTGGAATCACAGGCTTGTGTGTGTGAAGGCTGAGCTGACTGCATCTCAGTGTATGTTTCACAGGGGTTCTTTTAGGACRGAAGAGGTTTTAAGACGGGACTGTGAAGCTTGGTGCACACTGAATATTGGTATGGTCATTGCCAGGGCTGGGTTGCATCTTTCTCCTCTTGAATTCCACGTATTTCAATTCCATCTGATGCAAAAGACTTCACCAGAGCTCGAGGGTTGAGGATGTTAACATATGAGAAGGGGTCTCGTCAGGGTATTTTGCACTTATCCTCTGCACCTCTCAGTAGAGAACGGAATTGAATGTCGTGCCTCCTTTGTGAGCTTGACTTCCTGAAACGTAGCAAAACTTGGGAATGCCTGCCGGTCCTTCTGGGGAGCTTGGAGGAAGGGGGGACACCGCAGGAATATTTCTGCTAACTCTGTTTTTATTTAGATGCTTTGCTATTTTTTCCTTTGGGTGTCAAGCCGATCTTACAGCGTATCCTTGAGGATCTGGGTTCCCCCCTTTCCTACCAGCAGGGTTCACAGAGCTCCATCCCAGCGAGCCTGTTCCTTGGCTAGCTAATGTGCATATCTGATCCCGCTCCCCTCTGCACAGCGGTTGCTCACTGAAGGGGGAAGGCAGGACTTGGGAAGAAGGGAGGGAGCAGCTTTGCTCGGGGCACTGGCGAACGCGGCAGCCCTGGCCCCACGCTGCGCGCCAGCTCCATGTGAAGCAGGAGCTGCAGGAAACCAAGGCAGGAGCTGAGGCCACCTTAGACCCTGCCCAGCGAGGGCCAGGAGGGGACCCTGCGCACAGGGCTGGAAGCTCCCCACCTCCTACCCATTTCCTGCCCAGGGAGGGCAGTATCTCCAGAACTTTCCACGGATGCCCTAGCAGCTGGGTAAAACCCGTGGGCCATTAACGACCCACGTGTGTCTGCAGTTTGCCCTTCCTCCTGCAGGTGTCCCACCTTGCCAGCCTTCCCAGCCTCCCTCTTCAGCATCCTCTGCACGGCTTTGCTCCAGAGCCTCTAGATCCTTCCTGCCTTCCCTGAAGTCCTTTCCTATGGGATTGGGCTGCCCGCCTCCTCTTCCAGCGCCCGTTCATGTTCTGTCACCTGCTCTGTATGATTAGAGAGGCTCCTACTTGCAACACRGTGAAATTCTCTCTCGCATCTAAGGCTTTCATGCATTGTATGATTAAGAACAAAATGAAATACCTGCCATGCTGGTTAAGCCTARTTTAGGCAGAAATTAAATGAAATGATAACCTGCTGCCAAAAATAAAACCCTTAGGTAATGCAGGCTTTCTGTGCCAGCCTGTCTGCGGGCTTAGGAGGATGAGTAGTTTCCTCGCACACACAAACACACACATATCCCTGAAGGAGATTCCCCTTCTGTTCTCTCAGCTGTGGATTTTTGACATGTCTTTTGGTGTGTGTCTCTATGCTCAGTACACAGCGTCTTCAAGATTGCTGCAGAGTGAAGCCTCTTTTCATAGAGTTTGGGTTTGAAGCCTTTTCCTTAGGCCTGGTAAAGCCCTAGCTCTGCCTGGCTCTGACTAATTAGCATTGTCTTTTTCTTTGCTCAATCAAGACTTGTTTACATTAGAATGAAAGGACCCCCATGAAAATGGCAGTCCCTGAAGCTCCTCCGTATGTTGTTACTCGTGGTGACCCATACGAGTGGTCTGAAGAAGAGCCCAAGTATAGGGCAAGCATGTAGTGAGAGGCTTCTCCAGAACATTTCTGTGGCTGTTCTGGGACTCGGAGCTGAATCTCGGATGCACTGGGATATAGCAGCTGAGGTGCAAATTGTTGGCTTGCTCTAAAGGGATGTCCTGTAATGAACACACTAAGCCTGGCTCTATTGTGTGCCTGCCGGTGGGAATGTGGGGAGAGAGGATTATATGGCATTTACAGTGCGAATGTGTTAGGCTGGAGGAAACTTTATTTTTAAGGCAATATTTTCTTCTAATGACCATCTGTTGGCTAAAATTGGATTTGCAGGCCTATGAGCAGGGGGGGAAAAAGTTTCAAACAACAGCAGCAGCAGACGCCAAGCCCACAGTTTCTGACAACTGTGATAAATACCCACAGCCCTGTATCGCACTCCTTTATTATAATCCCAATAAAGCGGTATCATGAGGATAATATCTCTGTAATTTGAAAATAGATCTCTGGAATTAAGCATCACGAGGGTGCTTAATACTGACTTTTCCTGAATTAGTAGTTGCAACAGGAACTTTTTTTTAACCCAAAGGAAAGCCCCGGGCTAGCACTTGTATTGGTGTGCAAGCCCCTCCTGACTTAATGCCTGCAGTGTTTGGTGCTAGTGGCAGTTGTTCCCTAGATTTCCTGTGAAACAAGGCATTGCTGGATTGCAAAGGCTGCAATCCAGCGACAAACAACAGCAAAAGCTGCAGACGCTTGCTGCCAAAGCCCATAATCKGGCAGACAGAGCCAACAGGATTGTGTATTTTCATCAGAACCCCTTTGGTGGAGATGGATACATAAATAAAAGGTGGTTAGATTAAACTCTTGCAATAGTTGAGGGCGAATGTGAAGGTAGCTACAGATGCTGCTCTGTGGGGTATCTCGGCGCTATCCTGCCCTTGGTCTTTGCTGCAAGTTGATCTGCAGCGTTGCAGATAACGTGGTACTCGGTTAATGCTGAAAGCCACGAGAATGGCAGCAGTGGTGGCAAGCTCTTAATTTAAATGGAGAAGATGGGATAAGAGTAGTAGCGTGGGTTGGGAATTGCAGACGAGCTGCACGTGGGGGCGAAGGCAGAGTGAGAGAGACGCGGTTTGGGGACCGAGCACATTGTTGCTCCTGTGAGTATCCGTCCTACAGAAATCAGAGGAGCTCCTGAAACCTGCTTGATGACAGCGTTTCCATCATTGCTGCGACGTGGTGTCAGGGCTGGGGGGACTGAGTAACGGCTGGGGTGATCAAACGGGTTCAAAGGGACGGCATGAAGGGAATTTGCACCTACAGGAATATCTCTTCTGCGCTTGGGAATGAGAGGAGAGAGATGAATGGACGTGTTACTGGCCCCGAGCGAGCTAGCTAAGTGAAATGGAAGCTGTTCTGGGATGCAGCAGCAAAACTTTTTCATTAGATTTAAAGAACTGCTTCGGGTGCATTTAGAAGATATCGGGGATGTTCCACGTGAAGGTACGTGGTCAAAAGAGGAACTGAGAGAGAAGGAGTAAGGAAGAGGAATGGAGAGCCTGTCATGGGAGAAGGAACCAGTTTCTTTGGC